GACCTTTGACCCCTATGTTAGTAAAATATTGTCTGATTTGTGTATGGTGCATAAATTTTGTTCCGTAGCACTTAGATTTACAAAACTTTGCATGTAGAAGATGATGTGTCAAATACCAAAATCAGGTCACTCTGACCTTGACGCTTGACCCCTAGGATAGTTATTTGCGTTCGGGCATAACTGTTCTCTGGAGAACTAAGGTTAACCAAAACTATGCCAAACTAAGTGTGCAGATGCATTATAGGAAGTTGATTTGTCAGTAAGATTACGTCATTCTGGCTTTGACCTTTGACTTCCAAAAAGTTATGTGACCTTTAACATTGATATGACTGAAAGCCAAAATCTCAAAATATCATCTTCCAATACGAAATTTCACAGCAGCAACTAAAATGCATGTACGGAGGGTATTAGTCCCGCTATGGCTCAGCTATAATTTTATTTGTAAAACTATAATAGCAGATTGTAACGGATGTTCGCTGCTCTGTTTCAAAATGACAAGCTTTTTAAAAGACTGTTTTAATTGATAGTATAAATATAACGGAACGAAAAAGGCAGAACAAATGAAAGGTACGTGTCCTTGTTTTTGAGATATAAGCCATTAACTATTCTAATTCCAGTTGTTTCCTACAACTTTCTAAGTGATATAAAAATAAGAAGATGTAGTATGATTATCAATGAGAATACAATGTACATAATGACTGAAGGACAGAGCAATTTTAGGTTACCGAACGGCCTTCAACAATAACCATATCCTCTACCGTATAGTAAGTCATAAATGTCTCCCGTAATTCAAAATGTAAAAAAAAAAGATTAAAGATTAAACAAAGTAATAATTTTTACTACAATAATGAACGAATAATAAATATGTCAGACAGAAACCAATGGATTACAGGTTCCTGGCTTGGGTCAGATATATAACGATTGTGGTGGTTGTTTAACGTGCTCGTAAGAGCTCTCCCTTCAGTAGGGACAGTGGTGTATCGGCACAACCTGGCTTGGGTCAGATATATAACGATTGTGGCGGGTGTTTAACGTGCTTGTAAGAGCTCTCCCTTCAGTAGGGACAGTGGTGTATCGGCACAACCTGGCTTGGGTCAGATATATAACGATTGTGTCGGGTGTTTAACGTGCTTGTAAGAGCTCTCCCTTCAGTATGGACAGTGGTGTATCGGCACAACCTGGCTTGGGTCAGATATATAACGATTGTGGTGGTTGTTTAACGTGCTTGTATGAGCTCTCCCTTTATTAGGGACAGTGGTGTATCGGCACAACCTGGCTTGGGTCAGATATATAACGATTGTGGCGGGTGTTTAACGTGCTTGTAAGAGCTCTCCCTTCAGTAGGGACAGTAGTGTATCGGCACAACCTGGCTTGGATCAGATATATTACGATTGTGGCGGGTGTTTAACGTGCTTGTTAGAGCACTTCCTTCAGTTGGGACAGTGGTGTATCGGCACAACCTGGCTTGGGTCAGATATATAACGATTGTGGCGGGTGTTTCACGTGCCCGTAAGAGCTCCCCCTTAAGTAGGGACAGTGGTGTATCGGCACAACATAAAATTTAAATGTTTAATATAGAAATAAGAAGATGTGGTATGATTTCCAATGAGACAACTATTCAACGAAGTTCAAATGAAGTGTTAAAAATCAATTGGAAAAGGCTTTTCTTTAATTTATCAGATCGGTACGACACAAAAACAGATAACAAAAAGACAAAAAAGATATTGCACTGTTCTGAAAGTACTCGATGTCATTGAAAGCTAGCTAAAATCAAATTTTAGCTCATAAATAATACTGAAAGAAAAATTATCTGGAATGGTATGTTTTGACCATAGCACATCTCTTCATTTCGGACATTGCAAATGATTGCGTCTTTCTGTAATTTTGATGATGTTGCTGTATTACTATGAAATCTACTCCGAAGTGTGTATAGTGGCATAGTTTTATATCAGCAGGTTAATTGCTTTGAGCTTGCTTTCAACAATTGCGAGCATTCTTTGATATTTTACCGTTTATAATAGTTGTTTTGCTTTCTATTATACATGTATTATTGAGTGAAATAATTTTTTATCATGCGTTCAGCTATGATCCTGAGATTTGTTCCATAGAGTTTAAAAGGGAATGAATGACCGATAAACATCAAATGAACCCTATCCATGTTAATGTGGCTGCCAAAAGTCAAGAAACTCGTAAGTAGTTGTCTTTATGCATAACTTATTTATTTTGGACTTTAGGGGACTTGTTGCTGATGTCAGATTTGACTTGATTCTCTATGTAACGTTGGGTTGCTGTCTCATGAACGTTCACCAATCATCTCCTTTAATTCACGTTTGTATTGCAACTGATTTGTACAGTTTGTTATTATGTTGTGCTGTTACACCACTGGTTAGGAGAGGGTTGAGCGTTCACAAACATGTTTCATTCTTTATGTGCTTGTCCAAAGTCATGAGCCTGTACTTCATTGGTTGTTGTTAGTGCATGTCTGTCATATTTGTTTTGTTTTTTTTTTATATTAGGCCGTTAATTGTTTTCATTTGAATAAATACTGTTTCACATTTTTCATATCGGGGCCTTTTTATATCCGAATATATGGTAATGATTTTTCTCATTGTTGAAATCCGTACGGTGACCTATAATTGTTTATATCCACGTCATTTGAACTCTGATTGATAGTTGTCTCATTTGCAATCATACCACATCTCCTTAACAAAGGACTACTAGCAGTTACTGACATGCCAGCTCCAGACCTCAATTAAACTGATGGAAAGTTTATGTCTTTGTATAGAATATTACCATTAAAAGATGGGATATGAAATTCCTGAACGTATAAGATGTCTGTACGTTGATTTATAGTTACGAATGATGTCCTTGTACCGATGATAAAATTTAGTAAATGTTTTGACAAGTTTGTGATATCGAAAACCCTGGTGTAATACTTTTTCAGTAATACAGAGATTTCTTTTGTTTAAATCAAATACGTTGTTAAATACACGAGCGAATCGAACAAGTTGAGATATATAAACACCATAAGATGATGCCAAGGGAACGTCACCATAAAAAAATGGATAATTAACAATAGCAAATGAAAAATCATCTCTTTTTTTTTTATCATGCGTTCAGCTATGATCCTGAGATTTGTTCCATAGAGTTTAAAAGGGAATGAATGACCGATAAACATCAAATGAACCCTATCCATGTTAATGTGGCTGCCAAAAGTCAAGAAACTCGTAAGTAGTTGTCTTTATGCATAACTTATTTATTTTGGACTTTAGGGGACTTGTTGCTGATGTCAGATTTGACTTGATTCTCTATGTAACGTTGGGTTGCTGTCTCATGAACGTTCACCAATCATCTCCTTTAATTCACGTTTGTATTGCAACTGATTTGTACAGTTTGTTATTATGTTGTTGTCATCTCCTTATCTTTTTATACAGCAGGTGACGATTACCCTGTCGACACACCCGGTCTCGCCCTCTTTTGAGTTCATCCGATTCCTTCAGTTTTTGTTTGTTGCCCTGGTTTTCGTGTTTACTTCTTTCCAAAGTGAATGTGGGCAAAAGTCACGAAAATTAAGTCACAATTATGAGAACAATGGAATAGTTAAAATATTTTCATAATATCAATTTCATTTCATTTTTATGTTATAAAATAAATATTCTGACCCCTGAAGACTATAAGACTATTACTTCAAGACACACCAGTTTGATTATTAATGGTCATAGATTTATCCAATATAAGTATAAACCGAATAATCCAGTTGTCATCATGAAAAGTGGAGGGAAAAGGACGGTGAGTAATTTAATCAAAGTTGTTTTATATGCCGAAAAAACATCAAGTGAACGTTTGAGGATAAGAAGAAAAATACATATTTGTGTCATGTTGAATGAAATTGACATGACTTAAACGCCATTCAAAAAGAGGACTTAAATCGTGCAAATATGACTGTGACATAAATAACATCAATTGATCTACATGGATGAGCCTTAAGGGTTTCCAGGCGACACACTATTGTACATTATTTATGCACTTTGAAGCATGAGTTAGTCACATTTCTTTAGTTACTGTACGTTTCAAGGAAATATGCCTGAAATTGTAAGTTCGTCCCAAAATACATTACAATCTAAACAAATGTTTTCATAACCTAAGGACTTATATATAACTGTTACTTTGCAGAATTTACCTTACATAAATTCGTTTCAGTGAATTTATGAGGTAGCTTTTTTAACATTAGGTCCGATCACATGATATAAAAGGCACAAGATGTCTAGCTGGCAGACAACAATTTTTTTTGTTATTTATTAACGTTCAAGGTTCAAAATAAATGAGGGCCTGAATGAGGCTTACAAAGAAGGAATAATGGGCAAAAAATAGAGAAAAAATGTCAAAATGAATAAAGAAAAGAGACAAATGAACCAAAATCATAAAAATACAGAATAATGGGGCGATAAATATAAAGAATAGAGAATAATGGTGAGGGGGTGGGGGGTGGGGGTGGTGGGAAAAAAGAATAGAGAAAAATGAGGAATTCTCCATCCAGACCCTCATAAATGTTAATCACTGTCAAAAACAGATGTAAATATGTATGTAGTAAATGATATTTGTATAATTTAAATATGCTTCCCCTTTGTTCGCAAACAAATATTAATAACGATCACACCGGTACCATCCACACGACGACGATCACTTCCGGTGCATATTGCTGCAAATCATCGTATTAAGTATCACATTTACATGCACGTTATCTTTGATGGTGTCATCAAACCTAAGAAGGTATAAAATTTACATAGAAATCATATTCAATTGTTTTTTATGTCTGCTTTAACTAGTTTGAGATCGGAATCACGTCTTGCATGTAAGACATGTATTAATATTTAGCAGTTGTAATACACAGTCAGGATTATTATCATTACTCCAAAAATTCTAAATCACATTTTAAGACACGTTTAAATATTTAACAGTTTTAACATTGGATAATTATCATTAATGAAAATGCAAAAGCACGGCGGCTATACAAATACAGGTGCCGATTTTGAGAACTCTGATTATAATGTGTCTACAATTACAAACGACCATAATAACAAGAATTCAGTGGAAAATATTAACATTTGTGATATGCCGACTAATGACGTCAAAAAGCAAACTGACGGTGTAGTGTATAAAAGCGTCAATGATGGAAATAGTCGAATGGTTATGTCCGAAAGCAAATTTTTAGAAAAAGGCGAAGAAAAGAAAATTGAGATTGATGATGCGAATTTACGTCGTCTTAATTACAAAATCTCTGAAAATCCACCGATTCATCTGGCCTTGTTCTTTGCTATGCAGGTAAGAAAAATATTTGCTTTAATATTGAAAAAAATTAATGTACCGCGTTAAAGTCAGCGCTAGTGACAATTGCGGATTTGCCGTCGTTACGTAATTGCACTGGCTACGCGAATTGGATAGCAAGTAAAACGAATATTTACAACTGTCATTATGAAACACGACTGGTGCCACATGTTGAGCCGGTTCTACATACTCTTCCGGAGCCCCTGATGTTATCATCCCCGGTTTTTGACGGGGTTCTTGTTGCTCAGTCTTTATTTTTCTATTTTGTGTTTTGTATGCTGTTGTTTGCTTTTTGGTCGTTTTTCCTTTTTTTTGCTATGGTGTTGTCAGTTCGTGTTCGACTTATGATCATGAGTTTGATCATCTCTTTGGTATCTTTTTCCTCTCTCTTTCATTATCACATTAACCTAGTCTAATGCAATACTTGTTAAAATATTTAGATAAAACATTTTGAATGTACAGGAAAAGTTGACACACAACAGTGACCATGACCACCATGCAATCGTGGAATTACCGACAGGCGTCATCTATAAAGCAAAAGTGGAGATGTTATATTGCAATTGAATCAAATATTTACTTGCACTTTTTCTTAATCAAATTGTCTTTGCAATTTTTTTTCTGTGAATGTACAAGTTCTCAGAGTATCTTTAAATAAAAAAAGTACTGAGGATATATACCGGGAATATTAGGTCAATGTAAGAAAAATATCAATCGACATTGCACGACCATCATTGCACTTTTTTACTTTATTTCGAAGAAAAAGATAACAGGAAGTGTTCTAGATGCAGTATAAAATATTTGATATTACTAGTCATTGCAAAAAACCTTTTGATAAATTAGAGGCAACAGTAATTTACCGTTCTTATGATAAAAAATCAAAAGAAAGTTATCTTTTCTTGTAAATAAAGGGAAAAAATCGATGACAAGGCATGATAAATGTAAAGCAATTTAAACGAGAAAACTAATGACCTGATTTATGTACTAAACAACAAACAAAAACAAGTATGATAACAGTAACAAAGGACAATTTCAGACTCTGGACTTGTGACCGGCACATGCATAATGTGGCAGGGTAAATCATGTTGCCACCACACACCCAACTGGGACGCTTGTGTAACAGCACAACACATGAATAAACTATAAAAATCAGTTGAAACAGCATTGACTCACTCTAACAATCAATACAATAGGTAGTCGACCGGGATGATAGGCGGGGAATTTGGAATGACACTAGAAAATCGGGGTATATTGGATAGGCAGGGAAATTAAGTAGTTTTTATTGATAATTACTTTTAATGCATGTACAAATGTATATCAAACACTTTTATTTGTTTCGTGTAGTGCAGTTTTGTGTTTAAAAATGAATATACATATAGGTAAATTAGTTGACAGTCACTTCATGCTTCGTCCTGCAGTTTCAAGACTTTTATAGTTATACGAATTGTTATAGCTTTGCATTCAGAAAAGTTTAAAGACTTTAAACCCAAAAGGAAGTAAATTTTACTTACACATCACGTGAAACGTTAAGATAAAAGATAACTTACAGGCTTCTTGTCATGACTTAGAGTGTCTGATAAAAAATCTCCAACAAATACCATTCTAATCCACGACTAAGCAGAATATAGACATATAGTACTTAATAAATAAATTGTCTTTCACAGAATGTATTACTGGCCCTACCATGGTGCTTATCGATGGCTATTTTAGTAGCAGACTTTGTTTGTGCCGAAGATGATTATAATTTTAAAGCCATGCTTCTGTCTACAACTCTTCTAATGTCTGGGTTGACCACCCTTGTTCAAGTAACTGTGGGTATAAGGTAATTGTTTTTTAGTAGTAGTAGTAGTAGTTGTAGTAGTATTTGATATTTTTGATCAAATGTCATTCAAATGTTTCTTGTGTTTATTTAGTTCCTTGCATAAACGTGCCTCCATAATGAAATGTTTTATGTCATTATAATGTATTAGTATGTCAAATTGACAGAAAAAAGTATGGCGAATTTCAGATGTATTTATTTCACACAAAGGGCAAAAGTGCAAAGTTGATGAAATCTGCTAGAAGTTAATCATAAGAGTCTGAATACATGTAACATATCTCAAAGACTTTTCGTCACTTTTAAGTAACCCAACATATCTTTAAAACAGAAATGTTGCTACATTGCTATTGACGACAAGTTGATAATTAATTTCAAAATTGAATGGGCTTTTAGGGAAAAGGAGTAGGGGCAATAAGGCCCTTATTTGGCCCAAATATTACTGCAAATTTAAAAGTTATCCTACGTATTCTTATATTTGTCCTAACTAGACTAAGGTACGAGGCATTCAGAAAATAAAAACAAATTTGACATTTATCGAGTAACTATGGTAACAAACCATGACGAAAGTCTTATATTTTGTAAAATTTCTTGATTTTCCTTGTTTTTCATCAAATTTTAAGTATATTTTAGAATAGATTGGCAAAGTATGTGCGCATCCAAGAAACAACTTTATATTTGGTGAGATTATGTCAATAGTTATAATAAAGCTTCTCTTAAATTATTTTGTTGTTTCTTGGCTGTGCACGATGTCTCCACAATGGAAATAACGATGGAAAACTGCTTAAATTCTGTATTTTTCATCAATTTCATGAAAATGGTACATATTATGACGTAATTGTGACGTCATCAGATAAAAATCTTATGTTTTTCATTTATATTTCTTGACTCTATGCATTTCCTAACATTATGTGCCAATTTGGTATAGTTGTCAAACATTTTATTTTCTTGGGCCAAAACCGGGCCTTAATGCTCCTACTCCTTTCAAGTTGTGCCGAAGCTGGATCCAAATAGCTTAAATTAGCTAACACATAGGTCTACTTCTGGTGTATTTTGATTTTGATTTGGAATGTTCTATCTATTTGAATTACAAAAATACTCAACATTGCTGTCTTTAGTAATCTGAGGGAATTTATAATGTTTAAAAAATGCAACACAAGACGGTTTGAATCAAAATAGACACACATGAAGCTGTGATGCTGTGATTTTTTTGGTGTTATCAAAAGACTTTAAAGTGACCCGGCTGATATGTGAAATAAATACAGAGCAAATTAACTCGACCTCTTTCTATCCTTTATTAATTATTCAACTTTTTTTTGTAAGGACATTTAAAGGTAGATGATGATCAAATATAACACCAAAAATGATAGGAAGATGCGTAAACCGAAGCTTATCATTTTGTCATAGGGATATAGAACATTCCTTAGACAAGGAAGCATGTATTTCTAAAGTAAATCTATCACTAGATTCATAAATATCTTGCATGGATTCGTATTGACAAAATGAATAACAAAAAGATACATAATTCATTCAAAGTATTTGTTTTTAACTTCTATATGTACGTTCGTTGCCATAAATGTACAATTGCAACTGTCGACTTTGTTCAAACCAACAAACGAGCATATCAAGTTAATGTTACAATTAAAAGTTTGCATATTAAAACATATCAAGAAATTAGGCATACCTTTTTCAGGTTACCAGTTTATCAAGGTCCAACAACTGCCTACATTATCCCTTTGCTAGCCTTAAAAGAATTACCAGAATGGTCATGTCCGGAGATGCACACTAAAATACACACAGGGTTAAATATGACGTTTCCAGGTATTTAGAATATCAAAACTAAGCAACAAAAAAGGAGTGTTAAATCACTTTTTAATTAATTTTATGTTTATATATTTTACATGCAAACCGTTACTAAAAGTAAACTTCAGGAGAATCAGCTTTCAAAGAGACTTGCATGTACGGTTTTAAAAGCTATGCTGCAAATATAGACACCACACTTAAATAGCTGCACATCTTTTTTTCTGCCATATGTACAAATGTTCATATGTACATTGTACGCAACAAATCTTCTTTGAATGTGGCATTTTATCAGGAGAAACAAACAATCAAAAAGTGCAAAAACGTAACACAAAATGTTAGCCAAACATTAGATGGATAGCCGTCTTCTCATTTGCAACCATACTTGGTCTGCCTATTTTTACATCGACAAAGACATAATATATATATAGATTTATCATATATTTAGTAGTAAATATAGTAGTTTTGAATATTTGATAAATAGCCTGCTGTTTAATCCGTATTGCTCAACTTTGATGCGCACTCTTTATCACACCTCTTTATCACACCCCTACCCTTTATCTCACCACTACTTAAATTTCTCATTTATGTCAGTACTAGTGATTCCGACTAAATTTACATGAAGTCCATGTTTTAATTTATGCAAGCTTCTCAAGAAATATTTTTTCTCAATGGGTCCAAAATGAGGGGGGGGGGGGGGGGGGGGGGGGGGGGGGGGAGGTCGGAGGGGTCCTGATCCCGAAATCACGGGCTTAAAAACATGAAATCCCGAGGTCCCGAATTTAAAGAAATTTAAATCCCGACATCCCGAAATTCGAAAAAAGAAATCCCGGATCCCGAAAGGATCAATCCCGAAATCCCGAGCTTAAAAACCCACGATCCCGTAGTCCCGATAAAGGTCCGACCCCCCCCCTTCCAAAATGAAACGGTCATTAGGGCGTGACGTCATTTACCGATTAACGTCATTGTTTGGCATGTGACGTCACAGACGTCGAACTTTCATATTTTCTGGCACACGAAATGCAACTACAAAAAAGAACTCAATGAAATACCACACAAAACACAAAAAAATACAATAAACAAAATATTTCTATAAACAACAGGACGCAAATTGCTTCGGATGAATGATGAAGCAGTTCTTTTAAAGCTTTTAAAACAAGACAAAAGTAAATCTGATGGTAACCCAGGTGCTAGGGATCAGAAAGCAGTTCAGATATACTCTCCTGTTTAAATATATGATAAAGCGTATAAAACATGGCAAAATCCGTATCACATGCGGTATCACCCGCGACCAATATCATCCCTCGGGCTGATATTGGTATATCGGGATGATACGGCATATGATACGGATTTTGCCATGTATTATTCTCTATGTAAAACAGTTAAAGGAGACGAGTCAGCGCGTGAGTGCCTTGTGAAAACTTTCTAAAAGGTTATAATAATGACGGACGACGTCATAGCAAAGAATAATAAAAGTACTTCAGTATGATGTCGTCAAAAATAGCTTTATGCATAAACGGCGTTAGATGGCTAAACATTTTTGAATTTTTGATCTAAAAACTCCTTAATTTTGGTATTGGTTTGGCCTTCCAACTGTTGATCGAGCGTAACTGACGAGACACGCGTCTGGCATACTAAACTATAAGTATCTTTGGTCCTTGTATAATATTTAGTTCGTTTTTATAGTCGAAATCAGTGGGGGAATGAGAAAATATTTACATATACAATAAATATATTTGTTGATGCACTATCTTGAATTTGTTTCTGTTTAAGGTAATCTGACCGGTTTAAACGGAACAGATTCAACGATGCATTACAGAGAAGCCGTTATTCTTCCAAGAATACGTGTGGTAATATCATTATCAAACCTTATTAAATTCGAATTATGTGATTGTCAAGTTACATTTCTTTTGGATTTTGTTCACCCTTAAGAAATATTTATATTTTTGTCGTATAAAATTATCAAAATTGATTCACCTTTTTTTTTTTTATAATATTGTAAAATTGAGAATGGAAATGGGGAATGTGTCAAAGAGACAACAACCCGACCATAGAGCAGACAACAGCCGAAGGCCACCAATGGGTCTTCAATGCAGCGAGAAACTCCCTCATCCGGAGGCGTCCTTCAGCTGGCCCCTAAACAAATATGTATACTAGTTCAGTGATAATGGACGTCATACTAAACTCCAAATTATACACAGGAAACTAAAATTAAAAATGATATAAGACTAACAAAGGCCAGAGGCTCCTGACTTGGGACAGGCGCAAAAATGCGGCGGGGTTAAACATGTTTTTTGAAATCTCAACCCTCCCCCTATACCTCTAGCCAATGTAGAAAAAACAAACGCACAACAGTACGCACAGTAAAATTTAAAGTCCGAGTCCGATGTCTTTTGTGATATTGGTGGCCTATTTTAAGTATTTATCTAAAAAAAAATTATCATATCACGATCAAATGAAGCAAGAACGTTAAACTTTGTGACTAGTGATTATCTGGTAAACATACAACACCCCTCCCCCGTCACTAGATTCACCAATATGAACCACATTTAATTCAGATTATTTTACTTGGATTTTAACGCAAATAGTAAAAACCAAGATGGGTCAGAGGGGAAAGAAAGTTGTGTTTACCAAAAATGTCTTCCTTATTCTAACAATTTCCCCACTTTTCTACGAATATTATTAACATTTTCTATACTTTATATGCATGTTTAGAATTGAACTTATGTCTATTTTTTCAGGATACGTAATTGCATATCTCTCATTCATTGACCACCTCCGGGTGCGGGATTTTCTCGCTGCGTTGAAGACCCATTAGTGGCCTTTGGCTGTTGTCTGCTCTTTGGTCGGGTTGTTGTCTCATTGACATATTCCCCATTTTCATTCTCAATTTTGTTAAACTATATATTCTGGTATATTTCTCTGTACATTTATTTTTCCGGATCATGTTTAGAAGGTGAAACTTCTATCTGTAAAGCATGCAAACTTTGCAAATTTAATCTACCCATGAATTTTATTTGCGAAATTTTCTTGAAACAATTTTAAAAAACATTCGAAAAAGATTTCTATTTCTATTTGTAGACAATGGGATGTTTAGCATTGGCTGGGTTTATACATATGTTGACAGGAATGTTTGGCTTGGTTGGTATGGTAATGAAATTTGTTGGACCAATAACAGTAATTCCAACAGTATTACTCATTGGTCTAAATGCATTTAAAGTCACAACGAAATTCTGCCAGGTGCACTGGGGAATAGCTGCTGTGTAAGTTTACTTAAGAATTGAATGCTTCTTTTTGTAATTTTATTGGGGTGTAAAAGTGTTGACCGAAGCACATTTTGTATGAAACGCGGAAGCGCTTCATCCTAAAAATGTGCGCACCATATGTTACTAGACTCAACCACGATCAACACTTTTACAACCATATAAAATCAATAAAAGAAGCATTCAATTCTTATAATTACATTTTTATGCTACGGTCATGAAAAATCGATTTCTATCATCTATTTCTTAAATTAACCCGTGCACTTTATTGTGATGGCACGTGTCATCATGAATGTTACACTTCATTGGGATATGAAGGTTAATTTTAGTATGATGCGCAAGCGTTGTTTTCCAGTCATAATAACGGATTCTTCTGAAACATACATGTAATGTAAGTATATTGAAATGAAGTTGACGTCTGAACTCGGCTGAGTAAAGCGAGTAAAACATAAAAGGGGAAATGAGCTTTACCTTTCGATGACCAATCGCATAAAAAATGAAACATACCTCTGATATCGATCATCACTAGGTAATATGCTCCTTAAATAAAATCTATGGTTATAAGCTACATATTTTGCAGAGTACGAGTTTAGTCTAGTCTAACACGCTTGAACCGTTGTAAAACAATAATTATATGTACGTTTTATTGTTGTTTAGAACAGGAAGTACATCTCTGATAATGTCATTATACCTAGACGGAAAAAGAATGCCAGTACCAGTCTGGACACCAACAAGAAAATGGCACATTGTAAGGTATCCCCTGCAACAAGTATTATCTGTAAGTTTATGAAAAGAAACAGTAAATTTACCTCAACACAAAAATACTGAACCAACACTATCAAAGCTAGACATACTTAATGGAGCAGGATCTGTTAACTCTACCGGAACACCTTACTTTCAATTGTTGTTGGGCTTCGTGTTTCTCAGTCTTTAGTTGTTAGCTTGGTTTCTTTTGTCTCTTATTTAACACACACTTGCTCATAACGATAAGGCGAAAAGGGAGATAAGAAAAGGTGTAACTGAAACAATAAGTCGAAAAAAAAAAAACCAAAACGGATAATATTATTCCTTGGTCAAAAGAAAAACAACAGAGACAATAGTCCACAAAAAAACAGAATAAAAAAAAACTGCGGATTTTAAAACACAAACCTACAACAAACAAAGGATGAGCACAAGTGAACCGGAGGGGTAAGCACTTCATGGTGCACTGGGAGGCACCCGTCGTGTTGTGTAACTCGCAAAAAAAATAAATAGGCACATTGTAAGGTTTCCGTTGCAACAAGTTTTATCTGTTAGTTTAATGATTTATATAAGTTTTATTTGTTTCCGAAACCTTATATTTCTGGTGCCGGTATATTTTTTTTTTTGTGCGGCCATGAAACAAAATATCTAAACTGACTTGCAAAGAACGTTTTGATTCGAATTGAAACAACTGTTTACATACTTAATATCACTTCAGAACACTAATTACGCTTTTAGTTATAATGAAATTTAATTCTTTTTGACAGGACAATTAAAATTAAATCTCAACTTTTTATGACAATTTTAAACCATAGCGTATGATTCGTGACAATAGTCATACAACTAATGGTCATTGACAATTAATCACGCATTAGAGATCAACAAAGAGATAGAGAGAGAGGGAGAGGGAGTTAAATCCCGACACATTCAAGAACCCTGTAAAACAGTGGTTGTTTTTGTTGCATAACACATTTGTTGTTCGTTCGTTTATTGTTTTGTACATAAATCAGGCCGTTAGTTTTCTTGTTTGAATGGCTTTACATTTTTCATTTTGTGGCCTTTTTTAGCTGACTATGTGTTATGGGTTTCGCTCATTGATGAAGACTTTACGGTTTCCTATAATTGTTAACTTCTGCGTCGTATGGTCTTTTGTGGAGAGATGTCTCATTGGCAATCGTACCCCATCTTCCTATTTTTACACATAAAGCTAAACATAGGACATGTTTCATAAATGTTTTGTATGAGCAACAGTCTGATATAAAGAAGATAATTCTCATATTGACATCTTTCGGAGAAAAATATGTTCTTATAGGTCTTTTTTTCCATTTAAAATTCTAAATATATAGATAGAGCAAAAAATTCAAAAATGAAGCAGTGTTTGCCTTAAATACACGGAGCATTTTTTACCTTATGTAATACATTTTTTTTTGTCTGACAGACTAAATAATCACTAAACTTTATGACTTGGAATATTGATAAAACAGTTGAAATTTTGATGCATTAATTGTAATTGCAAAGTAAGGAAATATAGCGCTATAAAACCAGGTTCAATCCACCATTTTCTACATTTGAAAATGCCTGTACCAAGTCAGGAATATGACAGTTGTTGTCCATTCGTTTGATGTGTTTTGTCATTTGATTTTGCCATGTGATTAGGGACTTTCCGATTGAATTTTCCGCCGAGTTCAGTATTTTTGTGATTTTACTTTTTATTATAGTTTAACCCGCCATATCCTGTATGTGCCTGTCCCATGTCAGTGGTTGTTTTTTGTTACTGTATATCATAATTGTTTTTCGCTTGTTGTTTGATAATAAATCAGGCCGTTGGTTCTATTTTCTTTTATTTCGGGGCCTTTTACTGCTTTCTTTGCGGTATGGATTTTTGTCATTGTTGAAGGCCGTACGGTGACCTATAGTTGCTAACATCTACGTCATTTGGTATCTGGTAAATATCATTCTGCTTTTAAACAGGAAGTTAAGCAACCAACAACCAATCAATCTTTAAAACAGAGTATATCTTAAATTGTCAAGAAGGATCAATGTACATTTCATATATTTTATCGTAAAATTATAAATTTATTGCAATTTCATGAAAACTTTTTAAACCTGTAATATCGCATTATGCCTACATTTTATGAAACTATATTTAGATTTTGATCTCCATCGTAATAGGATGGACCCTATCTGCAATTTTCACTGTGACGAATGTACTTCCAAATGACAAAGACCATGCACAATATTTAGCAAGAACAGATTCCAGATCACATGTTATCACATCTACGCCTTGGTTTTACTTGCCATATCCAGGTATTTTATATGCAACATGCAAGAATAAATTCTAGCAACTCTTTTTAGCTAAAGTTTGTGTATTTTGTAAGCTACAGAACCGATTTACGTTATCTTCAACCAGCAATCAGATACAGTTGAATACAATCTGCTTTCCATGATACCAAGGGTAATTTGGGAAGAGAACGAAACGAAACATTTTGATTTATAAATAACTTCAGAGAAACCTTAATATTGATATTAATAAAAACCTTAACCACCTTAGCAAACCGGGGTAAATTCATGTGCGTCGGTTTGGTAATCAATGCCTGCTGATGTAAATAATATTCGCAAATGTTAAAGTGCTCATTAACAGATTGAGAAATACACGTGTGTTTAAATCATTAAGATATGGATTGTTACTAATTTGATCACATTTCCTTATATATCTTAGGAAGGATTTACAATTAATTTATGAATGTTTGTATTTAGTATCGTTTTAGACACAAACAAGCTTTTTGAATGTTTTTATTTTACTTTTAATTATTTTAAATAACATTACTGATTCTGTATTGCTTATCAACTTATGAATTTCAACATGTTGTCTTATATTTAATAAGGATCATCTATGTGTCAATATAACAGCGCTATGTGTTTTGTCCATTCATGAAACAACAACTTCATTTTCAGGCCAGTTTGGACCGATGGATTTTTCAGGTGGTATATTCATGGCATTTTTTACGGCAACATTATACTCGATAACGGATTCCATTGCTGATTATCATGCATGTGCCAAAATGTCTCGAGTACCCCCTCCACCGATTCATGCAATAAACAGAGGTTTAATGTTTGAGGGTTGTCTGAGCATGATTTCCGGTTTCTTTGGTGCCGGACATGCTACCTCCACGTACGGTGGTCATATAGGATCAATAGGAATCACAAAGGTAATACAGTAAATAACGATATTTAAAATAACCATTTTGAAACATTATAACTAGTGTTTATATTACATCAAAGATATAATTGGGTTGATTGTAACCTCCATAACACAACTAACGATTACAGATATAGCAGGAAAATTCATTTTGACATATTACTTAGTTTTTTTATATAGACGGAGCCTGAAAGGTCTACAACGGCAAAAATAAAAATAAAAAAAAAAAAAGAAATTGAAAAAAAGGAATTGAATGACAAGTGCGAATTTAAACTTTTTTTTCGAAATTTGTCTTAGACACATAAACTTAAAACTATTTGAAATTTTCATATGAGTTTCTTCTAGACACTGATTCTTTTACTTTGTTGTTGTGAAAATTATTTAAACATAAATTAATGCAAGACTGAAACAAATGCTGCAATTGAATTTATTTATACCTATTTACAAATCTGCATGCTCATGGACGATTGTATCCGTACGTGACATTGCACAATGTCTTAAATTAGTACACTTTCTCCTCAATCTAACTTCAAAGATTTTTGTCAATGTGTACCTTATCAGTACATGTAGTTGTCTTATGTCACTTCTAAATATTTATTGTTGGTTGGAGAATGTTTGGTATAATGGTCCTACTTCTTTATTTATAAACAACTGTCTATATTTGAAAACTGTATGCTGCCCTCTATAGATTTTTTTATATCTTTGTTGTTTATCAACGCATGTTCTTATTTTTTAAATTGATTCTTTGGGATGTTGTCTTCTTTATTTGTTCTTCCTTTTCATACTTCAACAAAAAAGCAGCATTAAACAAACTATCACTACAGAGAAAATAAATAAAAATCAATCTTATTTGAAACAGAGGAGGCTCGGATCGATTGGACGTCGTTTTTGGTAAAAAAATATGAAACCTTTTGAGAATGCTACGTGAGATAGGACGTCGGTAAGAGACCGGATGTCTGTCCGAGTCCAACCGAGTCGAACATACAAATCTGTAATTTTTGCACAAATATTATAGTCTTTAGTAAAAATAAAATAAAATGCTGAATTATATTTAATATAAAAAAGAATTGTGGAATGATGCCCAATGCAACATTTACTCTGAAATGATTACCAATTAGACAATGATGTGGAATGATTACTAATTAGACAATGATGTTGCATGATAGCCAATGAGATAGATTAAATGATGTGGTGTGATAGCCAATGAGTGCGTTTTCTCTCAATTATTTGGACTACCTGTTTTTATTTCAATAAAGAATATGAATAAATAGGACATATAAGTTAACAATTTTCTTTTTTTCTATTTTCGATCTCTAATTGCTAAATCTCATCTAAAGATACCAACGATACTTATGCATCAAACTCTTTTTTATTACCTTTATTTGGATTACTCTAAATACCAACGTACCGAAAAGGCATATGATACATTGGTATTATTAAACCTAAAGTCATGAATTCATAGGAATGAGACGCACTCGTAGATATTGATATGTATTAAAACATATTGGTATACGCAAATGAGACGACATTCTAGCAACAACTAAACAAGAAAAGAATCATTAATATTTCAGAAAATTGGGATCTATTGTCTAATTTAGATCAACTCCTTTTCTTTGCTTTTATCTTATCAGGTTGCAAGTAGACTTGTTTTCGGATTGTTTCCCTGTATATTGATCCTTTTTGCAATCATTGGAAAACTCGCAGCTGTCTTCATAACCATTCCGTATCCGGTCCTTGGAGGTGTTCAAATTATAGGGTTTGGAATGTTTATTGGGCTTGTAATGTCTAATCTCCAATACATTGACATACACTCAACAAGAAATTTGGCAATCATTGGGATTTCTACACTTTTGGGATTAATGTTACCGTTTTGGGCAAAAGGCAATGCAGATTCCATTAATACAGGTAAAATTATAAACATATAAACACATTTAGTTTCTTTGATAAATATTTAGTAAACAGTAATCCAATAAAAAATGTAATTAATAAAGTAAAAGAATTTTTTTAATAAACGACTTTGATTGATGAACGTAAGGATAACAAGGAAACCACAAATAGTATCATATTTTGTAATCAGGATCGCCAATTTAAAAAAAAAACGAAAAAAAGACTAAGTAAAGAAATAGGAATATTATTTAGAGAATATTTTTCCTTTTAGGTTCACCTGGATTTGACAGCTTTATACGTGTCGTTTTATCGAACCCATCACTAGTTGGAGGGGTTTCTGCATGTTTTCTCGATAATACTGTGCAAGGTAATTCTATTTACTAGATTGGCAAAAAGGCAATGAATTCATTAAATGAAAAGACACCTGTCAATGTCCTAAATAATTACTTCAGGAAAAAACTTTTAATTAATTAACTTTTATAATTAATACGCAGATTTATTCATTCTGTTTTATTTGATTATTTTTATATAAAAGATCAGCATTAATTCTTGTACAAGTCATTTTCATTATCAGATTAATATTCTTTTCTACGGATCAAATCTAGTCTGCCTTATACAAGTGTTTGGCTGAAATGTAAAGAAAAGAGAATAATAGGCAAAACAAATTGAGGATAGTGTTCATTGATGATCGCCTCTTTAAATCAAAAGTCACCAACATTTGTCGAAATGTCAATAATTGAATAATATTTTTAAATAATTTATACAGGAACGAGAAAGGAAAGAGGATTATTAGCATGGGGACAGGCAGCTGCTGGTACTGCAGATAAATCAGTCTCACTTGATTACGAAGAAGGTTATGAAATATACGAAATCCAGAGTTGGTCTGCAAGAGTAAATCAATTGTCTTTCACAAAATATATTCCATTTTTCCCAAAATATGATATAAAAAATCTAAAATGCACTTGTTGCAAGAAAAATAATAGCTATGAATCATAAACAATAGTGTTCTTTACTAGTTATACATGTGTACATGTATATTTCTATTTTGCTAGTTGTTGTCTCGCCTTGACGGAGTCAAAAAGCGAGACGTAGGTATGCTGTTGGTTATCGGCGGCGGCTTCAACAATGTATTAGTTTGTAATTAGGTCTAGTTTATGGTGAACCACTAGTGATAGGTCAATGATATATGGTATGCAGTTGTATTAGCATTATCACATCTCATTACCGTGGAGTTTACTTGACCCCGCCCCCTCATTCATGGTCCATTGACTTTGAAACTTTGCTTAGTTTACATGTATTAAATTGTAATTAGGTCAGTTTATAAGGCACTGCTACTGGTAGGTCAATGATATTTGGTTTGCAGTTGTATCAATCCTAGAATAGATACTATGAGTTATAGTTCTTTCTACAACGAAAATGAAACTGCTTTAAAACAAGTTACATACACATTAAACTTTAACATAAACACGAATCTTCAGTCAGATACAGATGCGATGAAACAACAGCCATACGATAATTAACAAAAAGATAAATCAAAACTATGAAATACACTTTATAATATTACCTGTAACCTATCCTGGAAACATGAAACCAGATTATACATAAAGATTTCCAGGGACAAATACACTATGCGTATATACTAACTGTATTTCGTAGTTCTTAACTCCCAAAGATAAACTTGGGAGATATGTTAAAATGTAACACCCGGTTTCTATGATAAATGGGTAAACAGAGAAGCGGTAAAACCGTACGATAATCAAAACACGAATACCAAATTAAAACCCCGGAATTGTCTCTCGAAAGGAAAAAGCGTAGTGCGGCAATAACATCATTTTACCAAACAAATAAGGATGAGCAGATCAAAAACTTACAATACGAACTTAAAATGTTCGCCAAGACGATTAAAAGTATTGAAACTAAATGAGAGGATCTGACACCAGTAATGCATGATAGTAAAATACATCGGAGCAAATTACAAATATTACTGATCAAATAAAAAAAGACAAATTTGCAGTTATTAAGTTGCAATAATTACAGAACAAAATAAATCCTTCAAACAACTTTTCAAGCTGCAGTTTGTAAAATATTAGCGGCTAGACTAGAAATCATAAGCTACGAATTTGAAACCACCAATGAAAATTTAGAACAGACTTACAGATTTATTCACAAAAGCGTCGTCAATCACAAACAACATAAACTAAGTTTCGTCACAACTTCGAAAACAAAACAAAAACCATAAGATCACAAGAATTTACATTCCAGGAGTCTAATTAGAAACTTCAAATCGATTCTCTCACATATTAGAGATAGATGTAGCAAAAATGAAGCAACACTTTCGGAGAAACAATCTTCAATTGATTTGATAGATGGTAACTTTCATGCAAAACGCATTAAAACAGGCAATAATTTTGCATAATTGTTCATTTCATTAACACTTTGAGTACTCCTGAAATGATGAACAAAACATAAGCATAAGACACCGAATTTGGGTGCATCGTGTTGCATGGCTTCACAAACGTATTCTGGATGACACTACTAAATATATGTGACTTGATATTTGTTCTACTCAGGTATTGCCAATTTGCAAACATTGTGATATTTTTACCTTTTCCAAAAGAGAGGCGAAAGATACCAAAGGGACATTCAAATTCTTAAGTCGAAAATAAACTGACAACGCAATGGCTTAAAAAGAAAAAGATCAACAGACAAACAACAGTACATAAAACACAACATAGAAAACCAAAGACTGAACAACACGAACCCCACCAAAAACAGGGGCAACATTACAAATAATAATAAAATTGTATAATGTAATATTAAATCACAATATAAGTATCTAAATCATGTTTATGCATGTAAAATTTTATTCATTTAAGTTTATGTAGTAGCAAAGAAGTTTTATGAACTAGGTGGATAAAACAAAGGTGTCAGTGTACTTATTGCAAATAAAAGATATGATATTTGGAGAGTCCTTTATTACGTCACTAAAATACCGAGAATGAAACCACTGATCTCTAAACTTGGTACAAGACATAAACAAACAGACATATGTGGTGATTCCCCAACTAAACTCAAAGTACATAATAGGGGGAAAATGAGCAACCACCAATGCCCTCTTTTGTCATGTTACCATGAAGATAAGAATTAACGTATACATGCTGTAGCTCCTCTTATGAAAGAAATAATAGGAAATTTTAAATTAAAATATACAATTTCAATAATTTTAACCTATTTTTGAATATATGGATGATTTCCCTGATAGATGGTTGCTTACAATGAAGCTAGTGAACCACGGATTCCAAGATTTTCTAAACCGGATTTTGGTTTTTAATGCTCTTGAACTTCGTATTTAGTTCGGCCTTCCAACTGTTTTCGTCTACATACATGTATCAAAGATACAAGGCATACAAATTGAGTTCATACTATAAAAATATAGGTAAATCTAATAAAAAAAAAATTCACAACATAGGTAATCAATTATAATTCGTTTGGCTTATGTTACATGATAAATAGAATTGTAATTTGATCAGTTATTTGCATTCTGTTAGTCCAAAAAAAATATTTTATACATTTTAGTTTTTGAAGACACACCTGTCAAAGATATATTCATGATATAGATTTGTTGCGTTATTTATGAATAATAGTAATTGTGATTTAAGTATACTTATATGCAAACATTGGACAAACAAAACAGAACAAAAAAGTATTAACAAAAATGCCAAACGCAAAGGTTAATTAAAAAAGTTGGAAGTCCATCAAAACTGGAAAAATCAAATAATAGACTATATCAAGCAACCGAATAATTCATTAACTATTGATTTTTTTTCAGGATAATTTTCTTCAATGTTAAAACAATCATAATGTATATGTTTGTATTTTTATCTCACTTCCTATACATTTCTAAGAATATCATTGGTCAAAAGCGACCGCGTGGAGACCGTGTATATTTCATATAGGGTTAGTAGGCGTGGTTTATTTCAATACACGGTTAGTAGTTGTGTAACGTCCCTAACACGACGTTGAGAAAAAAATCTAAAACGTTTCGCCCGGACAACAGACGAAGAAATTGATGATGAATGATTAAAAAAATGCAGAAAACACAATAAAAGCTAACAAGTTGTTATTGTTGGCTTTTGTTTTTGTATATACCAATGGTACGGTAGTAGGTTCTGTAGTAGAGAATTGATAAGAAGTAGTGGATTCGTAAACGATAATCAACGAGCGACTTTAGTCGCAAGTTGATTATCGTTTCCGAATCCACTACTTCTTATCAATTCTCTAGCTTAACCCATTTCTATTAAAACGACTGTCTGTTTTACGTTTTGACAATGAATCAACGATATTTCATAAAAATAGTTTAGTATTTTGTCTTTTTTATTCTATAATAGCTGGAAATGATTATATCCACACGGTTCGCATCTATAATTAGACATTCGACAAGTTAACATAAGTTTAAGATAACTTAAATGGGGTGTTAGCTCCCCTTTTTAACACCAGATTTCAGTTTTGTATATACATATTTCATTTAATGTTTAATCATTACAAATTATTTATATTGAATAGATTTTGGTATATTTAATTTATTCAAAAAGACATATATTAATATACAGAATGTATTTATCTTGTTTTGAAAAGTTAAAAAATTTTAATTACCAAAATTTAGAACCTTCAAAATTTATATATATAATATTTAGCAACATGTTTTGGTTAATTGAAGACTAAACACCGTTAAGCCGTTCTTAGTCAAAAAAATATTGATAAGGTAGATGCCATAAATCTGCCATTTCATAATGCTCAAATTCATGTTGCTTTCCTAAAGTATTAAAATTACGATTGTGCTTACGATTTAAATTGAACAATTATATTCAAATCTGTTTGAACTGTTTCCGTTTCATTAAGTTACGATTATTTTAACGTTATAATTTCATTTGGCATATATCGTTCACCGGTAAATAAACTAGTTTTATCTGAGGAACGCATTCTGAATCCCCATCAGAATTGCTCTTGCTACGGATGTACAATGAATAATTATCTTGATTTCATAAACTTACCATCAAGCTGTTCATAGCTGTGATCGTCTAGTCGTTGGTAACGAATGCCATAACGGTGATATTAACAGTCAAAGTTCGAACCTTGTATCCGGAATGAAATTTTTTCATTGTAATTTTTTTTCTCGATAAAAATAGTTTTAATCTTAGAGGTATTATATACTTCATTTTCATGTAAAGGCGATGATTTTGTTTCTGGTTTTACAGTCAAAGAAGTAGTTTTACGGTCGTAGCTTATATATCACACTTTACTCAAATTAGAGTCCGTTCAATGTTGACGTGATATAAATAAATTTGAAAAGAACATGAACAAATCCAGACATAGTATATATATTTTGTTAGATAACAAAAGCGAATTATCTCTGAGATAGAAATACAGTTTATTGACATGTATTGACAGTTGTGCGCTTTAAGAGTGTTATTTAACTAATGAATTATGTGAGCACTCGTGGTATAGTGGTATCATGCATAGACTGAAGACTCTACTGATTATGAAGAAAATACGCGCGAGTTCGAACCCTTCATATGCCACTCGTTTTTGAGAGGATAAAAAATCGTAAGTTAAAAGTTTAAAGTTATAAAATAAGTTATCTTAAGTTAACGAAGTAGTCGGTGGATTCTTGAAAAATAATCCACTGTAAGAACAATAGAATGACGTCAGAGAAATGGGTTAATTATATTGAAGATATGATCACTTTGATAGACCACTTGTCTAAATGCCACATGTTAAGATGTTCGGTAAGATAAATTCGTTACACAGTGTACTAGTGACCTAATAGTTTATCTTCATTGTATTCTTGTTATGTTAAACAAATCATTTGAATCATTTGTACATCTATAAATGTAACTTGATTATTATGCCTGTAAGGGGCAATTGGCATTAAAATATTGATTTTGAACTTGAATTATTATCTAATCACCTCTTTAGTCTTTATTTTCTCATATTTG